GGTGAGTTCCTTGGAGCTGAGATGACGGCCTGGCTCAAGAAGCAGGGCATCCAGAGGGAGCTAACCACGTCTTACACCCCACAATTTAATGGTGTAGCAGAACGGGCGAACCGGACAATTCTGGAGACAACTAGGGCGCTGCTCATAGAATATGGGCAGGGCAACTTGATGTGGCCCCATGCTGTTCGGCACGCTACCGTCGCTAGGAACAGGGTACTCACCAAGGTTGGGGATGACTCGTGGGTGCCGTTGGAGAGGTGGCTTGGGAGGAAGCCGCCGGTGGACATGCTGAGGGTGTTCGGTTACATAGCAGTCGCCCACGTCCCCAAGACCTACCACAGTAAGTTGGGGGCGGGTGCAATCAGATGTATGCATTTGACAGCAGGGATGCTGAGAGCAAGGGATGGCTGCTGTGGGAACCTTCAAAGGGTGTGTTGTTTGACAGCAGGGATGTGAAGTTTGTTGAGGGCATGATGTATGGGAGCTGGGAGAAACATCCGAAGGCCAGGGTGTCCCAGCAGATGGAGCAGATCACCATGCAGCTGGACCTGACTCCTAGTGTGTGGGAGGAGGGAGAGGAGGCAGCTGCAGAGGGTGGTGATGGAGAAAAGGTGCATGAGGCACCTGTTGGTTGAGGTGATGGTGTCGAGACTAGTGGTAGCACTAGTGGAGCTGCAAAATCCGAGGGACGAGAGCAGCAGCAGGGGAAAACTAAGAAGCTGAAGGGTGTCGTTATGAGGGGATGGGAGACAACCGTCTCCAGGCCAGGACGTACGTGTATGGCTACTAAGAAGCTGACAGCAGGAGCTGATGTAGAAGAGCAGCAGCATGGGACAGAGGAGGCATTGCTGATTCTACCGCATGGCTATGATCCGGATGACGAGGATGAACTTGCCTACTGTTTTCTTGCCCCTGCACCAGAGGAACCAGCTAGCATGGAAGAGGCATTAGCTGGACCAGATAGGGAGAAGTGGCTGGTTTCTAGGGATGCTGAGTACCAGAGCCTGCTAGAGAATGGGACATGGGATCTGGTGGTACTGCCCGATGGGAAGAAAGCTGTACAGTGCAAGTGGGTGCTAAGGATCAAGACCGATGACAAGGGACAGGTCACCATCTAGAAGAGTAGGCTGGTGGCTAAGGGTTTTATGCAGAAGGAGAAGCGGGACTTCAATGAGATCTTTGCTCCCACTGCCAAACCCCCTACCCTCCGTATCTTGTTGGCAGATGCACCCGTTAGTGGAAAATTCATCATTCAGATGGATAGATCAACGGCATTCCTCAATGGGATTTTAGAGGAGCATGTCTACATGATGCAGCCGCGTGGGTATGAGGATGGTACGGGCAGGGTGTGCAAGCTGAAAATGTCCATCTACGGCTTGAAGCAGGCGCCACGCTGCTGGTACCAGAAGTTGGCAGCTGTTTTAGAGGAGATGGGATTCAGGACCAGCAGCTGTGATGAGAGCCTCTTTCTCAAGGGGGAGGCGGAGAAGCTGGTGTTGTTTCTGGTCTATGTGGACGATATTTTTCTCTTTAGCAGCAGCATGAAGGAGATCCAAAAGGTGCAGCAGCAGCTGATGGAGAACTTCAAGTGCAAGAACCTTGGGGAGGTAAAGTACTACCTCGGGTTGCATGTGGAGAGGGATCTAGATCACAGGTGGTTGAAGCTGTGCCAGGAGAAGTTCATCAAGGAGCAGGGGGAGAAGTACGGGATTGAGAATGAGCGCAAAGTTGCAACTCCCCTGCCAGCAGAATTCAAGCTTGTGAAAGCTGCAGAGGATGAAGGGGTTGAAGCCGAGAAGCAGCAGCAATTTCAGTCCTTGGTGGGCAGCCTCTTGCATGCAGCAGTTCTCTTTCTCTTTCTCTTTCTCGGTTGGGCAGCTGGCTAGGGTGGTGCAGAATCCATCACAGGAGCAGGTGGATACAGCCGAGCGTCTGGTGAAGTATCTGAACTCTCACCCAAGCATTGGAGTTCAATACTCCGCATCTGCACAGGTGAAGCAGAAAGGGGTTGAGGTTCTGAGAGAGAAGGGGGAGCGGCTTGGAGAAGGCAAGCTGTTTCTCACTTGCTTTACAGTTGCTACGTGGGCCTCTGAGAAGGAGAATTTCTCATCTGTGGGAGGATACATCTGCGTAGTTGGGGGAGGACCTGTTAGTTGGAGGTCAAAGAAGCAAACGGAGACGGCACTTTCTTTCGTGGAATCGGAGTACAGGGCAATGTTTCACGGGGTGAAGGAGGTGATTTGGCTGAGGAGGCTGTTAGAGGAGATTGACCAGGAGCAAAAGGTTGCTACGCCGCTGTTTTGTGATAGCAAGGGAGCTCTTGGGATGGCCAGGAACGCTGTGCTCCATGGGCTGAATAAGCACATGCGTAACAAGTGGCACTGGCTGCGTAAGCAGGTGAAGAGGGGGATGGTGAATCCGATCTACATCAAGACTCACCACCAGCCAACAGACTTCCTCACCAAGAGGCTTGCTGATGAGCCTCATTGGCGCATGTGCGCATGAACTAGTATGGAATGATGGGGATGCAGCCGGCTGGCTGAGGGGGAGTGTGTTGGGTGCAAATTCACATTGCACGGCATCCTGCCTTCAGTTTGTACGGGTATGCGTGTACGATTGCATTTGGGTGTGAATGGAATGTTCGTATGTTTGTTTGCTTTCGCAATTTTCGCTTGAAGCATTTGCAGGTACTCGCGCATTGTGCACTTCGGCACAACAACTGCAAATGATTATATAAAATATGTAACCATATTTTGACAAACATTGTACGCGCTATGAACAGTACAAGCAGAAAGGACGAGCTTGCAAAGGAACCCAAGATGGAAGCTTTGTGGTTCAACTTACTTGATTGCGCAGATTCAGTTGTATCCAACTCGAAATTGTACTTTTTTGTTTGGTTGACTATAGTGTAGCAGGGCAGGCACTATAGGGGTACAATTTATGTGAAGGTTGGATGTTGTTTGTCTGTATCTGTTTGCTACAGTGCGAGGGGAAACCAGCGGAACCAGCATTTGGTTGGTTGGGCAAAGACAAAACAGGTTCTGTTTTTAGGACCTGAACCTGGTTGTTGTTTTCCCAGGTTGGAAAAACAGAACCAGAGGTTGTTTACCAACCTACTACCTGCTGTTTTGTCCAGCCAGGTTGGTTCTGTTGCTTGGAATTATTTGGGATCATCCTTAGTTGTTCCCAGGTTGATTCCCAAGGTCCTTGCTAGCTAGAGCTATTTATTCCTTCTCTGATTGTACCTGAATATAGTGAAATTGATTCAAGCAAATTGCTTCCTTGCTGGAATATTCGTTTCTATGCGGTGCGATGGCGGAATGCTACCTGAGTCAATGCTAATACGCTAGCACTCCAACGCTAGGCAAACGCTGTCCGAGCCATAACTTCGTAATGGCAGAACTTTTCGCGAGGCAACTTGGTTCATTTTAAAGCTCTGGGAGCGAGCTTCGATATAGCAAATTTTCAGCTTAATCCAATCGACGGTATGCAGGAAACGCTGCGCGATGTCAAGGTACTCTTGCTGTTTTGACTAAGTCCCTCTTAATCCTTCTCTCTCTTAATCCGACGATAGGGGCTGGTCTTGTACCAGGTACCCAAGGACCCTTGAAAGTGACCCCGAGGAGAGGTTTCAAGTTTGATAAAGTCTTAATAGATTGAGTTCATTTGGCCCTCACACCAACAAGCTGGTATCAGAGCTGCGTTATAGTGATCCTCGATATAGGTAGCTATGGCCGGCAAAACCTCGACGAGAGCTGGTGAATTTTCAGCCCAAGATCGTAGCGGCAGCCAAGATTCTGGTGTTTTAGCGCCAAGGGGAGCGCGAACAAACCAGGGCTCGCTGGTCAAGGAGGTGCTGAAAAACTTCACCGTCGAGAAGTTCATTGGTGAGGGCTATGATGATTGGGCCTGGAAAATGCAATTGTATTTCCGTCAGATCGGTTTGCTTAGACTAATGATTGGGGAGGAGCCTAGACCGAGTGACCCCGCGCTGCAGGATGATTGGGATGAGCGCTCCTCGGCTGGCTACTATTCGATGTCGCAGAATTTGGAGCTGAACCAGCATTACCACATCATGCACCTGCTGCCGAAGGTTGAGTGCGGTTCGAAAGGGTGGACCGTGTTGAAGGAGCTGTTGGGTGCAAATTCACTTTGCACGACATCCTGCCGTCTGTTTGTACGAGTATGCATGTGCGAATGCATTTGGGTATGAATGGAATGTTCGTGTGTTTGTTTGCTTTCGCAATTTTCGCTTGAAGCATTTGCAGGTACTCGCGCATTGTGCGCTTCGGCAAAATATTGTACGCGCTATGAACAGTACAAGCAGAAAGGACGAGCTTGCAAAGGAACCCAAGATGGAAGCTTTGCGGTTCAACTTATTTGATTGCGCAGATTTAGTTATATCCAACTAAAAATTGTACAATTTTGTTTGGTTGACTATAGTGTAGCAGGGCAGGCACTATAGGGGTACATTTTAGGTGAAGGTTGGATGTTGTTTGTCTGTATCTGTTTGCTACAGGGCCAGGGGAAACCAGCGGAACCAGCATTTGGCTGGTTGGGCAAAGACAAAACAGGTTCTGTTTTTAGGACCTGAACCTGGTTGTTGTTTTCCTAGGTTGGAAAAACAGAACCAGAGGTTGTTTACCAGCCTACCACCTGCTGTTTTGTCCAGCCAGGTTGGTTCTGTTGCTTGGAGTTTTTTGGGATCATCCCTGGTTGTTCCCTGGTTTATTCCCAAGGTCCTTGCTAGCTAGAACTATTTATTCCTTCTCTGTCTATACCTGGATATAGTAAATTTGATTTAAGCGAATTCCTCCCTTCCTGGAGTTTGGGAAGGGAAGGGAAGGGGATAGGGGCTGGTCTTGTACCAGGCACCCAAGGACCCTTGGAGGTGACCCCGAGGAGAGGTTTTAAGTTTGATAAAGTCTTAATGGCTTGAGTTTATTAGGCCCTTACAACAACAGTCGGGGGGGTTGAATGCGCTAATTCGGTGCTGCTGGATGGACGATGGCTGTTGCACCAGTGGTGGCTCGTACATTCTGTGATCGCGGAAGCTAGTAAATATATTACGTCATCCTAGCCGTGGGATGTCGCCTCTTGCGATGGTGGTGACTGTCAGATTTATATGACATAGCTACTATAGGCTATAATGGGGTAGCACATATGGGGTACAACTTTCTAGGGTTTGCACTTATACCCAACTTTCCCTTAGTCATCTTTTTTCTCGTTCATTTTCTCATGGTATCGAGCAGGTTCTTCTGTGGGAACTGTTCCTAGGGCCCACCACCTATTTTTTCCTGCCCGGAGCGCGCTCTACACTGCCCGAGTCGTGCTCCCCTCTCACGGCCCCGTCGCGCCGCCCTTTCGACCCTTTCGCGCCGCCTTAGCGGCCCCGTCGCGTCGCGCTTGCGGCCCCATCGCGTCGCCCTCGCGGCCCCTTCACGTCCGGCCGCCCTCGCGGCCCCGATCCGCCGCCCTCGCGGCTCCATCGCGTCGCGCCGCCCTCGCGGCCCTTTCGCGCCGCCCTCGCGGCCCTTTCGTGCCGCCCTCGCGGCCTCTTCGAGCCGCCCTCGCGACCCCCCCCCTCCTAGCCGCCCTAGCGGCCGCGTCGCCTACCCCTGCAGCCCCGGCGCCGCCCTTCTCTTCCTCGGCGCCGCCTCTACTGGCCCCGTCGCCTACCCCTGTAGCCCCGGCGCTGCCCTTCCCGGCCCCGGCGCCGCCTCTACTGGCCCCGACGCCGTTCCACCCGGCCCTACCACCGTCGCCACGCGACCCCGCCGGCGCCGGTGAGCTGCTGCCGAGCCGCCCGAACCACCCGAGCCGCCCGAGCCGCCGCGCCACCTGAGCCGCACGAGCCGCCGGGTCCCCGAGCCGCCGAGCTGCAGTTGCTGCCGAGCCGCCGTACCGCCGAGCCGCCCGAGCTGCCCGAGCCGCCGAGTCGCCGAGCCGCAGTTGCTGCCGAGCCACCGTACCGCCGAGTCGCCCGAGCCGCCCAAGCCGCCGAGTTGCCAAGCCGCCGAGCCGCCCGAGCAGCCCTGTCCGGTAAGAGCAGCGCCTCTATCACTGCACTGCCCTTACCCTACTGTTCGCGCTGCTAGTCTACTGCTGTCATGGCTACCCCTAGTGTCCTTGCTTTTAACGTTGAGGGTCAGGCTATTGACTTTGACGTCTGGGTAGATGACCTGCAGCTTTTCCTACAGTGCGATAGGGCAGACGGTCTCTCCCTCTTTGACCTCACCTCTGGTGCCTCTCCTGCCCCTGTTGCTGATGCCGACGCCACTATTCGCTCACAGTGGGCCACACGCGATGCTGCTGCACGTCTTGCTGTGCGTCGCCACCTGCCTACCTCTGAGCGTGCGCACATTTAGTCAGTACAAGAGTGCTCAGACCTTGTACGACGCTGTAGTCGCACACTACTCCTCCCCTACCACTGCTGCACTGAGCCGCCTCATGCTACCGTACCTCTTCCCTGACCTTGCTGCGTTTCCCACAGTCGCTGACCTCATTACGCACCTCTGCACTAGTGACACTCGCTACCGCGCTGCGCTTCCTGCTGAATTCTGCGCCAAGACCCCCCCCCCCCTCCCATGTACATCACCCTCTACTACATAGTCACCCGGCTCCCTGACTCCCTTCGCGTAGTCAGGGACCACTATTTCTCAGTTTGCCCCACCACTCTCACCGTTGACCTCCTGAAGAAGGCCCTCCTAGCAGCAGAGAAGAGCATAGTCGCTGTAGGAGCCTCCCGTGGTGACCCTCGCACCCCCGTCTTTGAGGGGTGTTCCCCCTACCCCCTTTTGCCCTCTGTTGCCTCTGCTGTCGCGGCCGACCTTGTTGGTTTCAAGTCGGTTGGCGCTGCGTCTGCCCCGAGCGGGAGACGCCGCACCGGTAAGGGCAAGGGGGGCAAGGGTGCTGGACGGGCTGGCGGGGGTGGCGGAGGTGGCGGTGGAGGCAGTGGAGGGGGTGGGGGTGGTGGTGGGAGTGGTGGCGGGGGTTGAGGTGTCGGTGGCGGCAGTGGAGGCGGAGGCGGCGGCGGCGGTGGCGGTGGGAGCGGAGGTGGCGGAGGTGGCGGCGGTGGAGGAGGCGGCGGCGGAGGAGGTGGAGCTGGTCGGAGTGGCGCTGCGCAGAGGGTCGGCTCCAGTGGTGGTCAGCGCCAGCAGCAGCAGCAGCAGCGCACTCGTGACATCCCCCCCCCCCTCAGCAGCTCCGTGAGTGGTACGCTGCACGCCAGCGGGGTGGGGGTACTGGTCCGTGCACCTACGCACCGACGACCGCGCGGGTGAGCAGTGCGGGGGTGCGCTCTCCACCCAGCGCTGCTTTGGCCGCCTGACGGACGCTTGGCGCCACCAGTTCCTTGAGGCCACTGAGATCCCTTGCTGGGGCGAGCTGTCAAGGGCGGGAATAGCTATCTTTGACCTTGACTTTGATGCTATTCTTGCTGCCATGTATGCTGTGACTATTAGTGATGAGGGTGACTGTTATCGGTGTTTTCCGCCCGACCCGGGCATTGAGACTGCTGCTCTAGGTACTGGTGAGGCTGCTGCTCTAGGTGAAAGCGAGGCTGTTGCTCTAGGTGCCAGTGCGTCTGCTTCTTCAGGTGCTGGTGAGTCTGCTCTCTCAGGTACTGCGTTAGCTCCGGCCTCCCACACCTTTACCCTTGACTCGGGGGCTTCTCGCTCCTTCTTTCGAGACCGCATCACACTCACGCCGCTTGGTCGGCCAGTTGCAGTCTTTCTGGCAGACCCCTCTGGGGGTCCTGTCCTTGCTCACTTCTCCACTGTCCTCCCGTGTCCGGCGGCCCCCTCTGGCACCCTGTCTGGTCTTTACCTCCCCTCGTTCTCTACGAACTTGGTGAGTGTTGCTGACCTACAGGATGCGGGGGTTCACCAGTTCACTCCTGCGAGTCAGCGGGTGACCCACTGCACGGACGCTCGGACAGGCCGACACCTGGCCACGTTTACACGTCGGCCGGGGTCGAGCCTGTACACACTGACCACTGAGTCTTCTCCAGTCACTGCGTCTGGTCAGGTAGCTGCGTCGGGTCAGGTGTTTGCTGCAGCGTCCAGGTCTGGTCCTGAGTCTGCCCCCTGCTCGTGTCGTCTCCTGTCTCACGAGACTCTCCTTTGGCACCACCGCCTTGGTCACCCCTCCTTACTTCGTCTCCGAGGCATGGCCTCCCGTCTCCTTGTCTCTGGTCTTCCCCGGTCCCTCCCTCCATTCCTCCGGGGCCTGCCCCTGCCTGCGTCCCTTGTGTCGAGGGGCGGCAGCGGGCTGCCCCTCACTCCTCTCAGTTTCCTGTGACAAAGGCCCCGCTGCAGACGCTTCACATGAATGTGTGGGGCCCGGCCCGCGTCCGTGGACAGGGTCACGAGCACTACTTCCTGCTGGTGGTTGACGACTACTCGTGTTACACCACAGTCTTCCCCTTGCGAAGCAAGGGCTTGGTCATCTGCCAGACCTTCACGCTTCCGGACTCTCCACGGCAAAATGGGATTGCTGAGCGCCGCATTGGCATGGTCATGGACGTCGCCCGTACGTCCATGATGCATGCGGCTGCCCCCCATTTTCTGTGGCCGTTTGCGGTTAGGTACGTGGCGCATCAGATCAACCTTCAGCCCAGGGTCTCCATGCCGGAGACCTCCCCAGCTTTGCTGTGGACGGGGAAGGTTGGCGATGCGTCTGCGTTCCGTGTTTGGGGATCTCGGGCGTTTGTCCGCGACTTGTCTGCGTACAAGCTGTCCCCTTGTGCTGCTCCCTGCGTCTTCCTTGGCTTCCCCCCTGACGCACCAGGGTGGAAGTTCTACCACCCCACCTCTCGCCGTGTTCTGTCCTCCCAGGACGTCACGTTTGACGAGTCGGTCCTCTACTACCGCCTCTTCCCCTACCGCACTCCGTCCCTCCCCCCGCCACCGCTCTTTCTTATGCCAAGTCCCCCCCCGGTAGACCCCCTCCCCCCTCAGGGTCCTGCCCCTTCAGGTGTGTCCCAGGTAGACGCAGTCGAGCCTGTCAAAGTTACTCATGACTCTAGTGCTGCTGGGGGTGCTGAGCCTGGGGGTGCTGACTGAGGGGGTGCTGAGCGTGTGGGGGCTACGCCTAGGGGTGCTGAGCCTGAGGGTGATACTACTGGGGATGCTCAGCCTGGGGGTGCTGAGCCTGGGGGTGCTGAGCCTGGGGGTGCTGAGTCTGGGGGTGCAATAACTGGGGGTGCTGAGCCTAGGGGTGCTACGCCTGGAGGTGCTGAGCTTGGGGGTGCGGAGTCTAGGGGAGCTGGGCCTGCTCGTGTGGCGTCTGGCGGTACTGTGCCTGAAGGTTCTCCGGGTGCTTTTTCTCGGCGGGAGCCACTCTCTCCACAGGAGCTGTGCGAGTGGTTTGCCCGGCGCTAGAGGCGTGCTGCTGGAGGTGGAGGTTCTTCAGCTGCTGAGGGTGCTCGTGTCGCGGGTCCCGGAGGTGCTCGTACTGGGAGTACTGGAGCTGCTGGACCTGCGGGTACGACTGGAGCTGGAGTTGCTGAGGGTGTTGGCGCTGAGGTCACTGCTGTCGGTCCTAGAGGCGGTCCTGCTGGGGGTGCTACTGGTGCTGCTGGAGGTACTAGAGCTGGAGGTGCTGCTGGCGCTGGTGCTACCACAGGGGGTATTGGTGCAGTCCCTACTATGTCAGGAGTCGCCATGCGGCCCCGGCCGTACTTCGTTCCGCTCCTTCAGCAGGTTCTTGGTCTCCCGCCTTCTACTGGTCCTCCTCCTCCCTTAGAGTGTCCACAGCCTGTCCCGTCACAGTTAAAGTTACAGCCGGCCTCCCCACTGCCTGCTCCTTCTCCCTACACTGGTCCTACTGGAGGTCTTGCTGAGCGTCGTGAGCCTGCGTCTCGCCCTGTGTCGCCTGTCCGTGCTGCTCGCGCTAGTGGTCGTGGTTCGCGTCAGTGTCCTCCTCCTGTCCCTGGCATGCACCGGATGTCTCTGCGTCCGTCCACTGCTCCTCTGCATGCCCCTTTGCCTTCTCCTCCTGAGTCCTCTCTTCCTGCTCTTCCCGACCCGGAGTTGGACTCTCTTCGTGCTGCCAGTCCTACTGTTACGAGTCTCCTTGCTACTGTTGTCACTGACCCTTCCTTTGAGTCCACTGCAGCGTCTGCCCTAGTTGCTGAGCTCGTCAACTTTGGTGCTCGCTGTCGTCTAGAATAAGCTGCTAGTCTTGTTGCTAAGTCTGAGTCTCTCTGTCCTCCGTCCGTCGGGGGTGAGTGTGCCCTTGGCACGGACGTCCTTGAGGACAAGCAGGAGGAGTTCCAGTGTTTGGCTGCTGCTTCACCTCATCTCGTGTCCGTACTGCTTACCCCTGAGGGAGACCCGGATGCACTTGACATCCCGACTCCGCGCTCTTACGTGGAGGCGATACAGGGTCCCTACTCCTCTCAGTGGCAGGCAGCTATGGACACAGAGATGGCTTCCTGGAAGTCCACAGGCACCTACGTTGACGAGGTTCCCCCGCTTTGGGTGAACATCGTCAGTGGCATGTGGATTTTCAGGGTGAAGCGGCCGCCGGGTTCTCCGCCTGTCTTCAAGGCGCGTTACGTGGCTCGTGGCTTCAGTCAGCGGCAGGGAGTTCACTACTTTCAGACCTTCTCTCCCACCCCGAAGATGACCACTCTTTGGGTACTGCTGCACATAGCTGCTCACCGCGACTACGAGTTGCACTCTCTTGACTTGAGCACTGCTCTCTTGCAGGGCAGCCTGCACGAGGAGATCTGGCTGCGTCGCCCACCTGGCTTCACTGGGTCTTTTCCTCCTGGCACCCAGTGCAGCCTCCGGCGGCCAGTCTACGGTCTCCGCCAGGCACCACGTGAGTGGCACGACACACTGAGGACTACACTTGCGGCTCTTGGGTTTGCTCCCTCTACTGCCGACCCGTCGCTATTTCTGCGTACCGACACTTCTTTGCCGTCGTTCTACATCCTCGTGTACGTCGACGACTTGGTCTTTGCCCAGCTGACACTGCTGGACTCGCCCACGTGAAGTGCGAGCTGCAGAAGAGACACACGTGCACAGACCTGGGTGAACTGCGCAGCTACCTTGGCTTGCAGATCACCCGGGACAGAGCACGCCGCACCATTACCCTGACTCAGTCACACATGTTGGTGTAAGGGCCTAATAAACTCAAGCTATTAAGACTTTATCAAACTTAAAACCTCTCCTCGGGTCCACCTCCAAGGGTCCTTGGGTGCCTGGTACAAGACCAGCCCCTATCCTCGGGTCCGAGTTTGTAGAGAGAGGGATCAAGAGGGACTTAGTCAAAACAGCAAGAGTACGTTGAACGTCGCGCAGCGTATCGTGCAGACCGTTGATCGGATTAAGCTGAGAATTTACTATATCGAAGCTCACTCTAAGAGCTTTAAAATAAGCCAAGTTGCCTCGCGAAAAGTTTTGCCATTACGAAGTTATGGGTCGGACAGCGTTAGCCTAGCGTTGGAGTGCTAGCGTACTAGCGTTGACTCGGGTAGCATTCCGCCGTCGCACCGCGTAGAAATGAAATTCCAGGAAGGGAGGAATTCGCTTGAATCAATTTCACTATATTCAGGTACAAACAGAGAAGGAATAAATAGCTCTAGCTAGCAAGGACCTTGGGAATCAACCTGGGAACAACCAGGGATGATCCCAAATAATTCCAAGCAACAGAACCAACCTGGCTGGACAAAATAGCAGGTGGTAGGTTGGTGAACAACCTCTGGTTCTGTTTTTCCAACCTGGGAAAACAACAACCAGGTTCAGGTCCTAAAAGCAGAACCTGTTTTGTCTTTGCCCAACCAGCCAAATGCTGGTTCCACTGGTTTCCCCTGGTCCTGTAGCATGCAGACACAGACAAACAACATCCAACCTTCACCTAAATTGTACCCCTATAGTGCCTGCCCTGCTACACTATAGTCAACCAAACAAAACAGTACAATTTCGAGTTGGATAGAACTGAATCTGCGCAATCAAGTAAGCCGAACCACAAAGCTTCCATCTTGGGTTCCTTTGCGAGCTCGTCCTTTCTGCTTGTACTGTTCATAGCGCGTACAATGTTATGCCGAAGCGCACATTGTGCGAGTACCTGCAAATGCTTCAAGCAAAAATTGCGAAAGCAAACAAACACACGAACATACCATTCTCATGCAAATGCATTCGCACACGCATACTCGTACAAACAGACGGCAGGATGTCGTGCAATGTGAATTTGCACCCAACAACACATAGTGCAGCAGGTCCTTCAGCGCTTCAGCTTCACGTACTCCTCGCCTCAGGCCACTCCTCTGCCTACTCGCCACTCGCTCTCAGCTCTGCCTTCGGATGAGTCCATAGAGTCGAGTGGCCCGTATCCAGAGCTTGTTGGCTGCCTCATTACCTGATGACCTGCACACGACCTGACCTTGCATACCCTCTTAGTATCTTGGCACGCTATGTTGCTCCTGGGAGACACAGACCGGAGCACATGACTGCAGCGAAGAGGGTGTTGCGCTACTTGTGCAGTACGTCGGGCATGGGGCTTGTGCTTGGAGGGCAGAGTCCAGTGGTCCTCACTGGGCACGCAGACGTTTCTTGGGCTGACGACCAGGCTACGCAGCGGTCGTCACAGGGTTACACCTTCAGCCTTGGTTCCGGCTCTGTTTCGTGGCGGGCTACCCGCTCGTCTTCTGTTCTCGGCTCCAGTTGTGAGGCTGAGATCTACACGG